GATAAATACTTATAAAATTTTAAATTCCGCTGTAAACTCTGTTCCGTACGGTATATCGAACCCAACAGTAAGTACGTGTGCGACCCCGATCATGTCATTCCTCATAAAGATATTCAGGTTCAGCCAGATCTTTCGTACGAAGAGCGACCAGTAGCTGTACTAGACCGTCAGGTTCGTCGGCTCCGGAAGCGAGATCTTCCTGTCGTGCGTATTCAGTGGGATCACCACGGAGCTACTTGGGAGGCGGAATCCGATATTCGCGCACGTTTTCAAGATTTTCAGTTTTGATGTACATATTTTCTTGTTCCATGTACATAGTTCATGTGTATTTAGTTATGTTTTGAATTTCCGAGGACGGAAATTTTTAAGGAGGGAGGATTGTAATATCCCGTCAGTTTATTAATATAAATCATGTTTTAGTTCCGACATATTAATATTGTCGAGTATTAATTTTCGGAATTAATTATTTTCAGTCGAGATTACCCGAAATTATTTTCAACGTTCCGTTTACGTTCGAAATAATTTTGGTAATTAATATCATGTCTAATTAGATAAATAAGCCCTAATTGTCATTAATTAGTAAATTAATCATGATCAATATAGCAAAGCCGTGGGAAATTATTTTGCTAAGCAAAAGGCCGTAGCCTTTCTTGTCATGGGAGAAAAGATTGTTTTCCTTCCCCTTAAGGAATTACACGTGCCAAGCTTAGAATAATTAAGAGGATGATTAATCCTTTTAAGGGATAAGTAATCATCTAAGTCATGGCAAGTGGAAGGGAGGCATTAAGCCACGTTATCACTCCATCATCTCCAAATAAATTTTCTCTTCTCTCGGCTAGTATAAATAGGGAGGCATTGGGACGATTTTTCCCACTTTGCAGCACTATATATCTTCCCCTTATATTCCATTAAGTCCAGCAATAGATAGGTGAGCAAGTTGCCCTAGTTCCTTAGCACCCCACGCCGAGAACGTAACTTAGCACGCGCGGAGGTTCCGGTGGTTCCGAGCGATTAGAACGATCGGCAAGTGTTCAAGGAGGTAACACCAGCTTACTTTTGAATTGATTATGTTAGTGATGCGTAGGTTCTGTTTAGTCGAAATCATGCTCATGTAATGGCTTTAGGCCGTAAGGCCGTGTGTAGAATTCATGCCGAGCCATCATGTTTTACTTCAGAAATCTTTCGAGCAAACTTATCCTGTTTAGTTAATTTATGTGATATCATGTTCAGTTATATCGTTTTGCTCGAAGTATGTTCATGTTGTTCGGAAGTTCGGCCGAGAGGCGTGGTCGCGCACGTCGCGCGCCCACGGGCCGAACATAGTGATGGATTATGTTAAGAAATAAACTATCGAGCTTTTCATGTCTATTTATTCATAAATGTCATGTCATGTTCAGT